GAGGGGGGAGAATAGGGAGGGGGGAGGGGGGAGGGGGGGGCTGACCAACAGCTCAACAGGGTACGTGCCGCAAGTACGTGCCGTACTTAGGGTGGCAAGTGCCGTCACCTGTAAAAAGCCCTTTGGAAGAGGCACTGTGTGTTTTTTGGGCCCGTTCAGGATTGCCCTCGCGTGCTGTCCCCTCCCAACCCCAACCCCAACCCCAACCCCGACCCCAACCCCAACCCCAACCCCCTCACCTCCCACCCCCAACCCCCCAACCCCAACCCCCCAACCCAACCCCCACGCCCCCACCCCCACGCCGCGCACCCCTCACCTCCCACACAGAAGGTGACACACACGCACCCCACACCCCTCTTCCTCGCGTAGCCGTCCGCCGCATATCCCGCATTCAGCTCGTTACAGCACCACACCATGTTGAGCTCGGGTTGCTTCAGGAGCTGGTCCAGGAGCAGCAAATTGAAGTCACCTGGTGGACGGGTGCACCAGGGAGGGGAAGAGGGAGGGACAGGGGAGGGGGGAGGGAAGCTAAGACAAGGCGGGGGGATGTGGGGTTTTGGCAGAGTTTTAGCAAGTGAGCGGGGGATGGAAGGCGGGTGATAGCGGTTGTTAAGGAAATGGAAGTTTAATCACCAGCTTGAGGTGCGGTGGATGGGTGGGTGGGGAGCACCCGGACGACAAAGGGATCTCCGTTTCGGTTGGGATTAATGGTGGTTGAAAGTATCCAACGCTAACCGCTATGCTCTTTGGGCTCCTCCTCCACTTCGTACGAATATCCAAACCCGCCAGCCTGTTCTAATGGTCGTCCGGCCCCCCCCTCCTCCTTCTCCGAAACCATTTCAACACCGTTATCGGGCTCCCGTCCCGCCTTTACTCACCCGCAGGCATCTCCATACTTTCACGCCTTCCAACCGCCCTCTGCCCCATTTCGGCGATGATCCACCGACCCACCAACCCAACCACCACCCAACCAACCAATCAACCAACCTGGTACGGCGAAGCAGGTCGTACATCCGATCTCCACCAGCCGGTTGGCAATATGCACTCCTAAACGCAATGAAGGAAGGACAGGAGGAAGAGGGCAATTACCTTTGCAAGAAACAAAAAAATTAATGGAGAGTCTTTTCATTTTTTACCATTTTCCCATTTTCCTCTCTCAGCTGTACGGAGACAGACGAACAGATTCAGAGGCAATGTGCCAAAAAACGCAAAGAGGAAGGACAATCTGAAAAGGTTTTGCTGAAACACTCTTCTCGTCGCAAAATCGCGCTGAAATGAGCTCTTCAGAGGAAAGATGCAGACTGCGGCGATATGTAAACGCTAAGAGCCGCGTCGGCTGCTGCAGCAGCGGTGACCTTAACGCAAGTACGCGGTCTCTGCTATCCTGGCTTTCCAAAGTACTCAGTAACACATATCTCACACCAGAAGCCTTTGATATTGTCATATTGACATTCGCGGGATAGCGGTGGTAACAAGTGCTCTAGAGCAGGCTCCCCCTGCTTCACTGCCGCTGCCTACAGCAGCAGTGATGTGGCTGCTGCTGCTGCTGCTGCTGCTGCTGCTGCTGCAGGACAAGCATGATTCCAGTTCGCTACTGGTTGTGTATCATGTTGGCCAGGTTGGCTAGAATGTTGGCTTTCGGGACCTTCGCAGCTCTCAGGTCATCCGGAGGGGAAGGCTTGGGGGAGTTTTCCCAACTCTCCGGTCGAGGTGATGTATATGCTATGCGGCGGGGCTGTGTTAAGTCGGTCGCACCGAGATTTGCATCCGGGCTGGCCAGCGGGATTTTGTACTTGTGATGTTCCTTGTGGCCGGATGCGGCCTTCGCGGCCTTGCTGACAGCTCCGGTCGTCGACTTGACGGACTTTTGCTCAGGCTTGGGGGAGGCCGCGGCGGCGTGCGGAGAGTCAACGCCTCCTGTGGGGGTTCCAGTAACCTCGAGCGATTGCGGTGCGCTCATTTCTTCTCTTTGCTTGTAAAAAGCTTAATCAAAAAGCGCACAACGAGTAGCGTCACGAATGAAGTCCTTTGCTACTTTGTAATATGTACTTAGAGAGAATTGAAAGGAGTACTTATCGTAAAAAGGCGAAACCGACGTTAGGATGGAAGCTGGTGTCAAGGGATGGCCGATGATCTGAGGGCCCCTGATAGCCCGCCTACGAGCTTCCGGAATGAAGTCTCGATTGCGAAAGTCATGATTCGTACAGGCGCTGGGAAAGCCGGATGACGCAGTTGCGGTAACGTTCCTCGGAACGAACGCCGTCCTTATATAGAATGCTATCCCAATACTTCAAACTGATGTTATTTTATGATAAATAAAATTATCACCTGACCCAATTCCGGGTTACATTTTTGATAGTTCTCTTGCCGCTTCGTCATCACGGTAAAGCCCAAAGCTCGTCGCCGTAATTGTTTCGCTCTATCAGGTCGTAGCGTTTTGTTTGAGTTTTTAGTTTTTAAAATTTTCCGGACTACAAGAAGCCTCCACAGGCTCCGGCAATACAACAGCTGGAATAACACAATTCGGAAGCGCTTGTTGTATGAGCTTAAAGGTGTTGCAAGACACATGTAAATTTCGAACTCGAAGATTTTGCCATTCTGTCTACATTGGTAAACCCTGCTGATGTGAAATGAACAGTTAAACTTCGTAAGAATTACACCGTTTTGTCATCATAACGGAAGGTGGTTGCACACCAGCTGCCCATTTCAGTCATGAGTTGTGGCCGTTCTGGTCAGTTCCGACTAGGCGCTCATCCGTTCAACGAAATCGTCTCTTCACCGTAAACATAGTATTGTCTCGCCCAAAACAAAAATACGGCCCGAGATAGGCCAACAAGTTATAGATAGGCCAACAAGGCCTCAAACGCGAATGTTTTTACGCACGTTTCGTTACGTAAGAAAATCTTGTAATAGTATTACTATTTACACTGAAGCCCGAACGGCTCATCTGCAACGCCCTACACAAGCGCCAACCGCACAACACTGTTGGCTTTACACAGCCAAGCGTGCGCATAGCCTCCGATAGCACACAATTGTTAAAGTCAGAAAAACGACAAAAAAACATACGAGTTGCTGGTTGGCGGGTCCATGGCAAGTTAGTTATCACATCTGTCAATCACATTCCTCAAGCGCAAGGAACGAATTGGTCAGATCGTATGGATACACAGCCTTGGGGAGCGTGTCTTCTCGACCGAACGCAGTAAGACGAGCTCGAAATCCGAGACCACAACCCTAGAATGGCAGTGGGTGTAAGATGGGAAACCAAACCCTCTCAGTGTATAGCATTTTACGACCCAGATTCCATGCACCTCTTGCACTTACGGCCAACACTTGATTAAGTTGGCCCTGAAGGAAGCTGAGGAAGATACCATAGGTACCCGAGGATTCGTTCCCAAACCAGCGCTAAGGATGCCCTTTTAGCCGCCGAGGAAATCGGTTTATCTTGCAAGAAGTCCAAGACCACCCCTACCACCCCACCACCACGAAGGTGCAACGCGAAAAACGCGGCAGTGCGCCACCTACCGGCTGCCGACGACGTAGCTCACGGGATGCCAGGTTCACTTCGAAAGAGGGGGGAGTTAACATCATGCATGGGTCATGAAAGGGGGCTCATCAGCTAACGTAACAGCAGCAGCAGCAGCAGCAGTAACCTCCCGTTAAGAGGGTTAGGTTAGGGCGCAAGCTGATTACTTGTGCATTGATCTCGGACGGCAAATGTGCACACACGGCTGAAGCAGTGAAAGCAGTTGCTGCAAACCATCAAGCAGCTGACATGGTAAGTCATTGGTTCATAGCACTGGTGGTTGAGGCCCGGCTGTTACGGCAACTTGAGGACGTCACGAAGTGCAGATGTCATTTGCGCGGACCTCGTTTCGCACACCCAGGCATTGGGCACAGAGGTCGGCAAACCCTGAATAACTGTCACGGGTACTGGTGCCAGGGTCGAATAACTGTATGGAAATTTTTTTGGTAAAAGCCGAGGAAAGAGTGCCTGCGGGCCGATGTACCAAACTTACTACGGTACACCATCGCTGCTAAAGCCACAGTTGTCTTGTTGCGCCCTAAAATGGAAGGTTTGGTAACCTAATGATGAAGTTTATAGCTTCAAAACTGCGCAAACCTGCCTTTTGGGGGGAATTTCTGCACCCTGCCGTACGGCTGCAGTACCCGTGATGAAGAATTTCTGCAACGGGTACAACGGAAGGACCCGTGGTACCCGTGGCGTTTGCCGACCTCTGATTGGGCATCGGAAGTAAATCGGTGTCAGAATGGACAACAAGGTTATATTTTTCACATTAAGGGTTGAAAATCCCTGGGTTATGAGGTTATTTTTCCTTGCATGGGACCCTCAGCGCAGAACGCAGGAAGTGTGTACAACCAAGCAACTGCCAACCGAAGGGCCAACCGAAAGAAGTCCGCAAATCCGGAAATCCGGTCCTACGGCTGTATCCGGAACAGCCAGATGTTATTTCCATCCACAGCTGCCATTAGTTAGCTCAGGATGCTGCTGAAGCCATGCCCAACATTTCAGAGGTCGGCAATGAACTGGCATATTAAGGGTTAACCTTAAAGTTTTAAAGCTTAGCTGCATTCCTCATATGTTAGCGTTACCATAATGGGCATTACTTGTGTGGCCTTAATCGGGCCCCAGGTGGGGCAATGTTGGACTCGGACGTCTGTCAACCGGCATCGTGCACGCCTCAACCTAGCGCAACTTTTTCACCCTCAGAACAATCCAATGTACCTGCGGAGCATGGATTCTGCCACAGACGAACAGTACCTGAAGTTGCATTATGTCGTGCACTGTGCATTGGACGCCGTGGAAGAAAAAGGTGCGCCTTAGTGCCATAAATCTGAGCTAACAATATATGCTTGGCCCATCGGGTCCTGCGTTATGCACGAGGTATCCTGAAGGCAAGGCACCAACCAGGTCTTCAGTTCCAGGCCGCCATACTTTGTGGTGTGTCCTAAGACCTCCCCCGCATCCGCGCTCTACGGATTTTCCCCCTTCCTGTCCCCGACCTCTCCTTTTTACAGTGCTGCTGAAGCGGGGCCCGGCTGACTCCCAAGACGCCTACCTGGGCCTCCTCTACCCCACAGAAGACTATCGGGTGTACGGGTGAGCGAGGGGCCCGGGGCCCCTCGGAGACCGCGAACAAGCAACCGTCCTGCCGCCTGCCTCAGCTCCACCGCGCCCACACCCACACCCACATCCGCACCCGCACCAAGCCAACAGACCACAGACACCTGGGAAATCGACAAACCACCACAGACCACTAACAGACCAAGGGTCGCGCCTCCTCCCCTTCTCCTGGCCTTAGTCCCCTGCCGGGGCCCTCTTCCCACCCTAGGGCCTGAGTCCCCGGGCCCCGTTACACGCCAGCTCCCCTAAGCTCCCCCCTCCATTTCCTGCGCCCGCTCGTGCCACGGCAGCTACCTGACCAACACACACGTGAAGATGGTGTTGCTGCTGGACGATGAAGGTCCGGTGAAGGATGAGGCCGTGTTAAGGGTGGGTGTGTGGGCTGCGGGGTGGGGAAGAGTGGGCTGCTGGCAGGGTCGGGTTGGGGCGCATGGCGACGTGGAGGTGATGAGCAGGGCTCGGCTGACACAAGAGGTAAGAAGGGAGAGACGTTCCTTGTTCCTGTCGGTCTGTCAGTCGGTCTGTTGTGAGTACTACGCGCCAGTCGGCTGTTGCCGGGGCTGTCAGGGGCTGCCAGGAGCCTCAGTAGCGACCGAAAGCGAGGAAGGGACGGGGGAGGGGGAAAGAGAGAAGTCTCTCTACCGTGGCGAGTGGCTGCTATTGCTGATGATGATGATCCTCCATTCGGATATTTCCGCCCCTCGATCTCCCCGAGCTTCCTAACTCCACCCCCGCCCTCACCTCCCCCTTGTTTCTGGTGGTGTTGGTCCGCCCCGCTCACCCCGCTGTTGGGCGCAGGTCTTTCGGCGGCTCCACGCCCTGTACGTGGACACCGCCTCCAACCCCTTTCACAAATTCGGTCTGCCCATCAGCTCACCCCGGTTCGATTCGCAGCTGGAGCAAATTGTGGCGATGTACCCTCGACCCGGGGCATCTTTGGGCGGCTTCACGACTTGACGGCTCATGGTGGGGAACCGAAGGGGGTGAACGAATGATGACAAATCTGAAGGAATGAGTGAACGGGTGGATGGACCCCTACTAGCTGGATGGAGAGATGAGGGTGTTTTCCACGCGCCCTCCGATGCTCTTTCTCATTCTCTGGCCCCCCACCCCATGCCCAGCTTTGGAGGCAGGAAGGGAGCCCTTACAGGGCGTGATAAATGAGGGGGGATGAGATTAGCTCGAGTAAGGGCGCAGTCGAGGAGGAAATGCAGCAAGGTGGTGAGAGAGAGAGAGAGATGTTCAGTAGAGACACGGGTCCTAGGTATCGGTGTTCAGCTCTTATCGCGATTATATCGATATTGGACAACTGTGTGTGTGCGTGTACAGCGTTTTACCCCGGGGGGCTCCTGGCTACAGGCCGTCCAGTTCGCACGCTATCGTACAAGCGTTGTAGGCGATGTTCCTAACATTTCAGCATCTGCCGACAGGACCCCTTACAGGGGCCTCTATACTTGTGTATATTCGTGTGTAGCGGCCGCACAGGCAGCTATCACTATGCCGTCACTGATGCAGCTGCCGGAAGGCCCCAGAAGGCGCAAATAACAATAAACTAAAACCAACTACAACCTGGATCGTCCCTTCGTCCCCTGGGTTACGTCCCTTCTTTCGAGTCGCGAAGTTTAGTGAAGCTGCCTCCTAGGGCAGCTAGCTGACCGGTCAAAGTATCATCCCGCACTTAATTCAAATTGACCTCATTCCTGTCCGGTCCGGTCCGGCTGACCGCCTATCGCCACCACTACCATCAGCGCCATCGTCACCTAGCTCCCACTCCGCTTGTGTCTATCCCTGCCTGGAAAGCGACATCACCACCGACAGGTCTTCCGGTCCGCCACAGGCCCTTCCGTCCCCCCCCACCACCACACACACAGACCAGTAAAACATTTTCATCGCTCAGTCGATCACTGAGTCTAAATTAGGCAGCACATGGAGGCGGCTCCTCCGTTTAAGCGGCAGACGCCACTTACCCGCGCAGAGTCTGTTTTTTCGCTTTAAGTTTCCACATGCCCCATCCACACCCACCTCTCCCCCACACGGGTGCCATCCACAGGTGCCCGACCCTTGCCTTCCGCAGGGCGCATCCCGACCCTTGCCCGTCCCACCCCACCCCACCCCTAAAGCAATTTGTGTTGTGGACGTCGGCACTTGCTCCCATAGCTGACTTTAGCACAGTACAAGAAAATAATGATAATAGTTCCCACCTGCCTGCCGTACCCCGTCACGGGCCCTGTGCGTATACCTAACCTATAACTAAGCTCCACATCCGTACATCGGTGGTGAACGCACGAGGGCGATCAAAGACGCGCAGCCGTCCTAGCCGATCCCATTAAATGCCCTCCAACCGCCCAGTCAGTATCTGCAGCTCCACTGCCCGTGTCAGCAACAACACCTCCTCCAGTGCCGAGATGCTCTGCTCGCGCTCAGCTAGCGCCTGCCGGGCCAGCCGTACCTGTTCCAGCCTCACCCGCCACTCTCGGCCCTCCAACGTTACCGGTTCGTCGCTCCGCAGCCTCGCAACCTCCATCTCGATTGTTTCCAAGCTTGAGGTTGTGTCTTGCTGTACCCGCCGGGCATGGTCCAATAAACCCATCGCCTCCGCCTTGAAAGACTCCAGAGAGACTTGCTCGCCCGCCAGCGCCTCCGCTGCCGCCTGACGGCCCTCCGCCAGCGCCTCCGCCGCCGTGAACACGTCCACGTCCAGCATGCCGCCAGTGAAGGCGTTACGGAGCCTAGCAGCGGCTTCGCCGCGCCGCCGCTCCTGTTCTGGTTGCAGCTCCACGTCCCCCAAGATGCCGAGGACGTCGTCCAGAAGTCGCTCCGCAGGGCTCGACGTACGGCGTTCGTACATGTACCGCAGGGCCCGGTACAGCGTTGCGATGCGCTCAACGGCGGCGGCGTCCTGACGCAGCGTCAGTGCCGCGGTGTAACGCCGTTCCAGGAGAGCGAGCAGCTGCTCGTCCACCTCCGGCGCGGCGGCCTCAAGCTTGGCTTCCAGTTCCGCACCCGAGGCCGCCAGCAAATCCACCAGTAACGCAACCCGCCGCTGCGCCGCGACCTGGGCTTCTTCCGCCGTACCACCGCCGCCGCCGGGGGCGTTACCCCCGTAATCTTCCACTTCGTCATCGACATAGACGGCGTCAAGTAAAGGCGGTTGCGGAGAGGGCGGCGCTGCTGCTGCCGTCGCGGTGTCGTCGTCGGCATCGTCGTCTGTGTTTCGGCGGCCCTCCACCCCAACATTCCGAGACGGGGGCGCGGCGGGTGCTTCGACTTCTGCCTCCACATCCCGCAACGCAGGATCAGGCACGGGGTCCAAGCCCTGCTTGGCGCGTTCAAATGCGCGAGCTACGTAACTAGCGGCGTCTACCCGCCCCGCCAACGCGATAAGCTCGTCGTAGTCTAAGTCCGCGTCGTCGTCGGCGCCGTCGCCGTCATCGCCACCGCTGCTAGCGCCTCCGACGCCTGCGGCCTCCCCCAGCTCCTCCAGCTCGCTCAGGTCGCCACCCAGGCGGAAGCGCTCACCGACCCGTGGGTCAGGAAGGGGCAGGTCCAGGATGTCGTCGGCGTTAAGCTGGCGGGGGTCTTCCGGAAGGGTGAACGGGAACGGCATGCCGTCGCCGCCGTCAGACCGGGGCGGCGGCGAAGGTGACGGCGGCTCAGGTCCGAAGGATCGCCGCTCGCTGCTTCCGCTACTGCTACTGTTACTGCTGGTCTCAGGGACAATGGCCGCCGCCACGGCCGCCGCCGCCTCCGCCAACGGTATCGTTGCTGAGGATTGCGCTGGTTGCTGTGGCGGCGGCGGCGGCGCCGGGCCAGCGATGCTGACCTCCGACGCCTTGGCTTTAGGCGGCCTCCCTCGCCGCTTTGGAGCAGTAGCTGCCGCTGCCGCTGCTGCCTCCGCCACGCCGCCAGTCCTGCCCGTCGGCGGCGACGGAGATGTAACCGATGGCGCAGGGCCCTTCTCCGCCATGGAGGTTCGAGAGCCGACCCCCGCGGGATCTGAGGGAGGAGGTGGTTCCGGGCCGAACTGCCGCCTCCGCTGCTGCTGCCGCCGCTGCTGTTGCGGCTGCTCATGTTGTGCCTGCCTGTACTGAGTACTGCCGCCGTCATCAGTTGATTCGGTGGGTTTGGCAGGTTGGGAAAACGGAGGGTCCTTGGCCGCGGCTTCTTCGGCAATGCCACCACGCCCGAAGCGCGCCGCTGCCGTCCGTGCCGTCGGCGTCGCCTTTTGTTGGCTGCTGCAGAAGCAGGCCTTACTCCAGAACAGGGGGCTCTGCGTGGAGCCGGCAGCTACGGTTCCCTTCGGAGCAAACCCGGCCACAGCATGCGGGGTGCCTAGACATTGTATGCGGCTGCGCGGATTGCATGACGCGGGACTTGACAGGCCTGGCATGCCACCGGCCGGCGGCGTCAAGGACGGCTCGGAACGCCGACGGCACGACGGAACCCTTTTCTTGCACTTTGGCGTGGTTTTAGTTGGGAATTGGTTTGAAACGTGGTCTGAAACGTGTGAAACGTGCGGGTGAAAAGCGTTAATGCTTCGGCCGTGAGGTGCTTGGGTCACTTCAAACGAAGCTCCGAATGGTCAAAGCATATGCTATTCCTCGTACTGGAAGGACATGTTGATACACCTGTCGCCGAGTTCCTGTATGAGAGTCTCGCAATTCAAGGTACGGAAACATTTCAGACCGTTTTTCGTCTAGCCATCACTCCTTATGCAAGATATTTGCTGAGAGCCATAGGTTTCAGGCACAACGAAATGCCAATAAAATACATGGTTGGTCATAGTATACAGTTAACGATAATCGCGAGATGTGACATCAGGTGTGAGCGTCATGACCTACTGCCCTTGTATTAGAATCGCCTAACTAGGATGCGTAAATCAGAAACGGGCCTTGTCATCGTCATGATGGTAACTTTTGTTGTAGCAGTACCGACTCTACCTGTGTCAGCGGGACTTGACGAACCCCGTGAGCAATGGCAAGATTATGAGCTGAGGTTCACACGACGCCTACATGGTAGTAATAGCACGAGCTCAGGCCTCCAGTCCGATGGAGGCACATTTACAGGCGCTATGGCGCTCTACAGCCTTTTTGCTGTGTTTGTTTTATCCAGTATTATTACCTGTGTCATCGGTAAGCCGCCTTAATGCGGTGCAACGTTTTCCCTACTCGTGGAACAGTTTACGAATTAGGGAAGTCTCTATTGTGTTGCGCCGTGTAATCTTACCTTGCCGTGCTTGCAATTCATTATATTTAGCTTACGCTTGCATATTCGTATCCAGCAAATATCGGGACAATTTCCATTATGTTGATGCTAGGGCACAGCTGTGCCTTCCGAACGATTTACAGCCTCGCGACGTGGGCAGAGGTCCATTTAACCTATTCCCCCTCGGTGGCGTTCAGGAATTATCGTCACGCTGCAGTGGCCGAATCCCCGTATCTGCTGCTACCGCACGCCATATTCAGATATCCCCTCCAGCGAAAGCTGCGGCTGCTGCGCGCTGCATCGGCTCAACATCGGTAAGCCGCGGCACTGGCAAATGCTCCATGACCCTTCACGGAACCTTGTCGCCAAACGCATCGTCCACAAGTCGGAAAAAGGAACAAGACGTGCTTGTTCGTACCTTGAAAACCCAAATCTCGTACCTTATTTACCCTCGCTGCCAGCCATACCGCCAAAGAAGCATTCCTCATCCCGCAAAGGCCATTTAGTTCATATCATGTTTTTACATCATGCTTGATCCGTACAGTTGTATGGTATCCTTTGGGGCCGAACGGAGGCCGAACGATGTTTGAACCTGCCGCCCACGCCTCCTGCCAAACATCCCAACAGGGCAACACGCTGTCTTAATCCCCTACCTTGGCCCCTACCTAGGGCATTGGGATCTGAAACTTGCATGGATAAAACAGGGATGGATAACATCCGGTTCCGCAGCGCTTCAACTTAGCTACCCGCACATTCTGGCCCCCACCGACATTCCCGTCCCACTCTCCCCCTTTCCCATGTTCCCATGTTGTGCGTTTGCCACCGCCTGTTTGCCGCCTTCCGGCCTCACCCACGTGCCCGTGTCACCTGCTGGCCAAAGGCTTTGCGGTGACATGGCTGGCGCTGCTGGTGCTGCTGGTACTCGCAGTCATCGTGTACCTGATGGTGGCGGCGGCGGTGCTGGCCGTCGTACATACGGTTGTCGCGTACTGCCTGATACGGCAGCTGAAGAGGCAGCATGGGCCTGGCCCGCAGCTGCAGATGGCGGCCGCGGCGGCGGGGGGCCCTCGGCTGCCACCAGGGGGCCTAGTGGTGAGTCCGTGGAGGAGAGGGATAGCTGAAGCGGTCAGGAAAATGAGGAGGGGGCCGAGGAGGGGGCCGAAATGAGGAGGGGGCCGAAAAGGCGGGGTAGAAGGGTTCATTCCCTCCGCACCCTGAACAGCCCACCCCTTGGGAGGGCGGCTCTCACGTCGCCGCCAGCCCAACCCTACCTACCTACCTCCTACCTACCTAACCACCTATGTCAGCAGAAGCCCGACTTCGTGCTGGTTCATTTGGCCCCTCGGAGGAGGAGGTTGTTGGTGTCCCAGACTGTGGGAAATATCGCTGGCAGGGTTCACGGCCCATCGTCTCTTGCCACTTAAAGGCGCATCCACGTATGTATGTATGTGTGTATGTGCATTAGCTCGCACATGTGCTTGTGCTTGTCTCCTTGGCGTCCCATGAATCGTCCCATTTGCCGGTTTCCCCACTTCCTGACTCGCCGGCGTGCATTTGGCAGGAACCCGAACTTTCAGCAGTTTGGGGTTCGGGTTCTTTCTGTCGTATCCAAGTTTCCCGTCCATCCATGCTGCGCTCCTCGCAGACCGGCGTGGCGGTGGACTGCCCCATCCCTGGAGTGCCCGTCCCCGGCATCCCCGTCATCAACGTCCCGTTGTCCGTGGCCGTGGTGGGCGCACCGCTGCAAACGCACATCAGCTTTGAAAACACTTACGGTACTAGGAACGGTGCCAATGGCAGCCGAAATAGCAACAACGACAACAACAATAACAACAACAACGAGTCTAGCAGGAGAAGTATCAACAGAGACAGCATCAGGGCGAATAGCAGCTTTAATTGCAGGAGAATAGGCACGGGGACCGGTAGCGGTAGCGAGGCCGTACGGCAGGTAGCAGAGGCGGCGTGTACGGCAGGTGAACCAGCCAGGCTAGACGCTGTGGGTGGGGGTTGGAGTCCGCGAGTAGTTCCGGAGCCGGGGGCGGACTCTGGGGCGGATGCACCCGCCGCGGGGCTCAGCACCACCACTGGTGCGGACCGTGCCTCCTCGCCTCGCGCAGAAGCAATGTCCGCCGCCTCGTCCGCGCTACTGTCCTCGGCCAGGCAGCCAGCCGTACCTCCATCGTGGGGGACGGCAGCTCCGGGGTCGGGGTCGCGGTGAGCCACGGGGACGGTATTGTTACCAGCCGGGATTGCACGACTGCCGCGGAGTGCGGAGGCGACCTGTTGGCTCGCTCCTGGCCAGGATCGATGGGAAGTAGCAGCAATAGCAATAGCAGCAACAACAGCAGCTCGACAATGGGGCATATGAGACAGCAGCGGAGTGGGATCTAGTTGCCTACGCCACGGGACGGCTGTGGGAGGGAGCTAGTGAGTGGGTGGACGGCAGTAGCAGCAGCAGTAGCAGCAATGCAACAGCAGTAGCAGGAGTCCTGATGGGAGTGTGGGAGAAGGGCTGCGGGGGAAACCCTGGCTGGCCGCAGCCGGCTCCATGTGCTCCACTTTCGTTAGGGCGTGCACCGCGCTAAGCCCACAAACGAACACAAATGGTGACAGCATTAGAAACACAACCGCAGATGGGACTTAATCATTGCGGACCCTAGGGGAGCATGTTGGCAGCATGTGAAGAGAGGGGTCCTCCGGTGTCGACAGAGGAGCTCCACCGTCGTGGGTTGCGCAGTCTTCCGCGCAGGGCCTAGTGTGCGGTGTGCTGCTTTGACTCACCCCAAAGGCCGTTGCCGGTGGCGGCGAAAAGTGGTGATGGGGGCCATCGCAGTTGTGGTTCGGGCCCCTGCCGGGCAGCTCCCTGACGTGGCGTGTGGACTGATCATTGTAGAGAGTTGTGCTGATATGTCTTATATAACTTGTTTGTGTCCATGTGCGAGATGTGCAGTGATGTTGCAGCACCGTTTCAAACGATGTGGCTTACTACAGGCGGGGCTGTCGCCTCAATGCCCAGGGTGTTATTCCGGGGGGGTTTTCCGGCGGCAAAACGTTGCAGGCGTACAACCTCGCGCCAGAAGTCCCGTATGCACTTCGGGCATTGGCATTCCGCCCCTGTTTTTGCATCGACACAGCTCCGACATAGCCGGGGGGTTTTTACCGATTTCAAACAGATCTTGACACGTGATCTTTGCGGTGATGGCAGTGAAGAAGACGCAAGCACATCATATTTAATATACCTCCCAACCGCCACCTTTCCCCACCTTCGTTTCTGCAACTCCAGGCCGCAACTTGTCCCCATCGACACAGCAAGCGTGCCTTGCCAGTTCTTTCCATCTGGCCAAGCTACAATCCGTCCATTGGACCCGTGGGGATTTAGAGCTACCGTGTGGTGGTGGTGCTCTCTTGATGATTCAGGTCCTGTTTTCCGTCTTGGTCATGAAGTGCCCTCCCTGTTTGGCATTTCGATGCGCGTTTTGACATATTGCGCAATTGTTTTCCCCTGCGCACAAGCATCGTCCTCGATCGCAAAACGAAGCCTGTCTTTACCCCATACCATCCAAGCGGTACGTACGATGCATGAAAGGCTCTGTTAGCCCACCGCTCGCTGAGCCGCCGCGGCCGCGGCTTGATCACTTTTGTAACCCCACTCAGAGCCTTAAGCGACCAACGAGGTGTTGCAGCAGCACAAGGAACACCACCCCAGAACTCCCCCCAAAGTCAGAGGGCCCTGGCCCAAGTCAGGAGGCCTTTCGGTCCGCTCTGGGGCCCTACAGCCCCGTCCGCTGCCCAAATGCAGAGCACTTGTCCCCCATAAACGTGTTGACTTGACCTCCCAGATATCGTGTTGGCACCCCAATATAACATATCGTGTTGGCAACCTACCTACTAGCAGTGGCAACCTACCTACGAGGGTGGTCACCATTACCACCACAACCCCGCTCGCCAGTCCCACTCCCCGTCCACGCCATGACCTTCGCCCCCGCAGATGACAAATAAAGCGGTCACAGAACAAGGTGGGGTACAAAGCAGATAATCCAGACAAGCTGGCGCCCTCCCCTCCCCGTGCAGTCGTTTCTTTGACCTTTGCATTTATCCTCTCCCTCACACCGCGACGAATATAACACACACACACAAACATACAGCTCCTCGGGGTCCTCCTTCCCCGACCGGCAGACGTACCCGCCGCTCCGGCCTCGTGCCCAGCTGATTACCCCCCGTCCCAGCCGTTGCATATACAGCCCGGCCGCACCGGCTGCTGAATCAAATGAGAAGAATATTGAGCAAATCCCGCCAGGCTGGCTGCCACACATGGTCATCACCATCAGGTCCTTGTTTCCCCCCCTCCAGATTATTCCACCGCCGCCGTCGCTGCCGCCGCTGCTGCTGCGGTATACGCGCATACCCCACCCCGACCACCCCGATCGCGCCCTCTTGCCCTCCCCCTCCAAGGGCGGTGGCCCTCACCACGACCACCGGGGTCCCCAGGTACCGTTGGTCAGCTGGACGCCGGCCGGCAGCAGCACCCCCGACTGCCACTGCACCGCGGTGGGCGCCTGCGGGTGCCGCCGTCTGTACGTGTCAGGCAGCACTCCGCGCATGTTAACCTGCCGCAGACAGCAATGAACCAACATCTATGTCCGTGTCCACATGAGGAGATACGATACCTGCTCGCTTATGGAGTCCTAGCATGTGGATAACTTAGGGGCCGCTCCCGTAAACCACGGCGGGAGACAACTGACAAGAGGAGTGAAGCAGTGAGCACGGAGGTGGTTCCAGCTCCTCAATCCGTGATGGGGCCGAGGAGACACACACACCAGAGCAGGTCTTAACAATAACAACTCCTCCGCCCACCCACTCCCTTCCTCCCGACCGAACAAGGCGCCTTGATGTTCCTTTCCCCATGACACCTTATCCCAGACCCCTGACCCCAACCCTCACCTCGGGCGACGCCGGGCCTTCCGTGAACTTGAGCCAGCAATCGCCCTTAGTGTGGTGGTGGGCATCCGGCTCGAAGCAGACGTCGTCCGGGCAGAAGGCGAAGGCGTTGCAGGGCAGCGCCTTGAAGGGACCTGCGCCGACGACCACCCCCAACCCCACCGCCGCTATCAAGGGGAATCTCTCTGCGTATGTCAACATAACGTCACCACCTATGGTACCGGTAACTGCTATCAATCATGATGTGTGGCTGTGCTACCGGCTAGCAACAGTACCGGCCTTCCCACTGAAACCCCATTGTAACGTCGTCCATTGATCAAAAATCGAAACTGCCCATCATAACATACATATGCATACACGCACACGTAATCACGCACACATGCATGCGCACCACCCACCGTCCACAGTGTTGGGCATGTGTTTCTTGCAGTGCTCCGCACACTCCTCGACCGTGGCTTTCTTGTTATTGATGCCCCAATACCTGAAGAAGGGCACATGGACACATGGACGCGGTCGGGAAGGAGTTCCCAACATGGCCGGGCCGTCGTCACGGAGGCCGCTGTAATAAGGGTGAGAGTCTTAGGGTCTCTGGTAAGGGAACGACCCCTGGAGGGCAAGCAGAGCGACGCGTACTGCGGCTCACCGTACCTCTCCGCTGCAACCAGGCTTCACCACACAGGCCCAGACCCTGCACTAGATCAGCTCCCCGCCGGTCACGTCATCAGACTTCCCCCCTCCCATCCCCCTCCCACCGCCCTACCTCAGCCACTGCTACGCCCATCTCCAACCCCATCCCCGCACTCCCACCACCTCCTCTGTAGCCCACTCCCTTCCTTCTATTACCATTCGAGAACCCTAGCCGTGTATCCTCATCTACTTCTACGTCTTCTGGACCATCCCCAGGCCTGCCAGTGACCCCCAGTTCGGTATGCTGCCCAGGCTCACACAGCTAAGCCGTCGTAGTCGGCCTGCTTCTCAATGTGCACCACCAGGTCCGACTGCTTGCCGCCGGATGCGTAGTATTCGGCCCACCACTTGGCGGTCGGGGAGTCTTCCAGGCACTTGGGAACGACGTGGGCGTAGCTGCGGCGGCAAGAAGGGGATTTCTTTTGGAAGGGCAAGAAAGGGATGAAAAGATGAAGGGGATGAAAAAAGCAAGGACGGAGCGGGGGTGCAAGATATGAAGAGGGACGGGGACGGGCGAGGACGGGTCGGAGGTATGGCATGAAAAATGACACGCGCAAAGATGTAACGGATTTACTATTGGCGATGTCCCCGGGTGAGGCACCCCTTCGGCCGCGGATTATGATGTGACTGGGATTGCTTGGAGGGCTTGTAAGGTGGTGAAAGGGGGGAGGGCGTAATCGAACCACAGACGAGTGAAGCTGATACTACTCCGCACAGGAATAGACATTATAGGCATAGGGGAGGGGGACTGCGGCGTGTGATGCCCACTCCTCCTTTCCCTCCTTTCACCACCACGGCGCAACCCAGCGCACCCATCCACTGCCGGCGAGCCGCACACGCGGGTTGTCAGGGCCGCTGTGGTGCTGGCCAACTTCTGCTCCGCCAGCTCCTCCTGCGCCGTCTTAACCACTGGCAGCGGGTCTACAGTTGGAGGCAAAAGCATACGCGCGGGCATAGGGCCAAGTCAAGAGCTCCCTCGCGAAGGATCTGGCAGCTGGTGGTCTCCGGGCGGGGTTGGGTGGGACACAGCAGGCGGGCGGGGCCAGGACGGCGGGTGCATGTGGAGGGCTGCTGGACCCAACTTTAGAGAAGGCCGGCAGGAAAAAGTACTGTTGTGAGGGCGCCACTACGCGTCTCCGCGAGAGAGACGCCGATCTGGGACTGCACAGCGACCAGAACTATCAGGGAAAAGGAAGGGAGCGTCGTGGTGCGGGTGCCCACCTGAGAATGCTAAGCCGTCCGCGCCGAGTTTGCAGCCAGCGAAAGCGCAAAAGGCCGTCGTCTTGTGGTGTTGGGCGAGAGAGAGGTGGATGTGCGTCGTCCGCAAAATCTGCAACCCCCAGGGAGCGGCATGAGCCAAGGCTTTCGTACAACGTGGCGTTTTCCACCTCCCGACAAGCTTTCCGTGGCCGCTGCTAGCGGGTTCAAGCATCATAAGACTCCAAGCGGCGGAAACTTACGTGGTGGAAGTTCATCGTGAGAAAGCCACTGTTACATGTCCCAGATGTCGAGGAAAGTGCCCAGGGTCAGGTGATAACAGGAGCCAAAGCGACATAGCTTGCATGCGTTCTACGCGCTCGTGTACTAGCACAGGTCTTACCAAGCAAGGGCCAGTAAGCCTATCAGCACGAGCTTCCATGGGCTCTGGGGCTTTTCTGTATTTGTCTGCATGATCACTGATGCCAGATCACTGGCGATGTCGCGTAGTAGTTCCGTTCAGAGGGCAACACCCATAGCACGATCGAAAGGGTCAAACTAATCGTCAGATATTAGGCCTTAAGTGTCATGCAAGACTTTCACGATCCCTTCCACTTGCAGTACGCGTAAGCATGAACAGTATGAGCGTGAACCAAGGTTGCAAATCCGATACATTTTGTACGACGACGGACGGACGAACAACTGTTCATTCGTAATGGCGTTCAATAATTGATAACTTTTCGCCAAATGCTCAGTTTTATTTGGTGGTGTAGGAAACGTTACATCGATTTTGGCCCTGAAAACGAACGAAATGCCGCCCCGCCAACGTATGAGCTTCATAGCATATTCGGGCCCTCTGCTTCTATTCATCCTAGGAGGATGGTGGGCCTTGGCGCAACTTGTGGACAGCAAGCGGCAGCTGCAGGCAAGCCCAGCATATGTGACTCTCGTTAGCGCATCCCCATAGCACCTCCCTCCGTATTTCCCGAGCACCCGGGAACACCATCCCTCGTCGACCCATCAAACCCCAATTCCGCCTCACCACTATCACCATCATCTCCAAGCCCAAGTCTTGCTCCATCCCAAACTCTCACCCATCACACATCAGAACGCGACACGGGGCTTGGACCTTGTTGAGGAAATGGACCCCCTGGAGCGGATGCGCCGCCGGTACGGTCTGCAGGATGGAGCAGCGCCACCTTCAGGAGGGCCGCGACGCAGACATGCACCCTTACAAGCGGACATCCCTTCCCTGGAGGCCGAACTGGAGGACATCAAGAGCAAAGTGGACTTGTACAACTTTGACTACAAGCCGGTACCCCGGCCGCCTCAGGAGGAGAGTGATTGAGCCGCAGATGGGTGGCATTAAGCTGCGCGGTGCTTCTGGGCCAGCACCGTACGGACCGTGCAACACGCACAACCCTAATGGCTCTGCACAAGGTGTTAATAATAGTAATAAGTAATGAATACTAATAATGACTGGGTGAGTTGAAGGATGGAGCGACCTGTCGGAAGGCAGGAGGGGAACGAGAACGAGAGCCCGAGAGTCTTCGGGAGGGAGATGTGAAGGGCATCGAAGTAAGAAAAGGAAGGATAAGGTGTGGGGAGAAATGGAGGAAGCCTCTGCTGACGCAGCAGTCGACATGGGTCCGCGTCGGGGCCGACGCAGGGCGGCTGGCTGGGTAGGAGGCGGTGTAGGCTAAGGCTGCTGAGGTACCGTTTCTTGCATGCCACCGGGCGTGAGTGATGACACAGCCACTTTAGTGTACTTGGCGATCATAGCAGATGATGATGATGATGATGAGGAGGAGGAGGAGGAGGAAAGACGCACTGTGTAACGCGGGATGTGTGAGGGTGATGGGATATGATAACATGAGCTGAATGGGCTCCAAGCAGTGTGTGTGGTGGGGGGAAGCGGGGGAAAGGGAAGGGTCCGGAAAGTCCGGGGGGGGTGTCAAGCCTGAAGGCGTGATAAGTCAACACAGGACAGGGCAAGGCAGGGCAAAGAAGCCGAGGTTGATTGAGGTGGTTGATACACATCGTCGACCCAGCGCGCCCTGCTGCTGCTTTCCTGAGCACAGCTCCTGAGCTCCCCATGTTTTCCCGCGTTTCACTGCCGTGGCAGTGTATGGCTTGGGTTGTAAGGGGTGAAGGCAGGACTGCAAATATATATGCATTTGCATGTTCACGAAGAAGAGAGCAGTTAATTTGCGAAGTCGAATGTTCTGAAGTTATCGGGTTTGATCCCCTTGGCTGGAAAGGATGAACGTATGACTCCTAAAGGAAGGGTACATATCGAGATGAGACAAAGAGCTGAGGCAGGGCCTTATGAGACAGGGCCTTATGGCCGCCCAGGACGGAGTGAATGAGATATTGTGAGAGAGGGAT